TATGGCGTTGAAAACTGGGGAAATACATACAAAAGCTCACTTCAACCATTGTATATATTACAAAAAAGAGCGATAAGAATTGTGCATAAGATGGGGTACAGGGATCACACCAATGTAGCTTTCATACAGTCTAAATTGTTAAAATATTTTGATTTAGTGGGATATAAGACTGCTGTGTTTATGTAATAGTAAGAGAATTGATGAGTTTAAACATAAATATAAAGGTATGTGTCAATCAAGATATATGCAAGAACAGGCTCAATGATTAATTAGATGGAACATTGTGGGTGTGGTGTATGAATGTTAACACTTTGTAATAATTCTTTAGTATATTACTTGTGTGGTGTAGAAGATAATTATTTAAGAATGTAATTATGTAAGAATGTTAACACTGTTATAATTCTTTAGTATATTACTTGTGTGGTGTAGAAGAGAATTATTTATGTAGAGATACTGCTTGCAAATCAATGATGGTAAGATGATGTCATGGGGTAGGACTGGATAAGTCTGACTTCTTCCTACTCCATTCAAGCATGTACTAGGTATAAGCAAATTAATATTGGATTATGTGTACAATCATGTGTGTTGTCATATCAACTGTTTTTACATGCTTGAAAGAATAAATCAAATCAAATCAAATTGGTCTCTGACATGTCTGAGGAGTGATTTCACTGTGATATTGGTGTCTTGGAAAGTTGTGTATTATGATGACACCAATCTGAAAATCGTTCATTTAACCTCTCCCAGGGATATTTTCTCCTTCGCTGCCATTAATCAATTCAAGTTAAATTATTAAGCTACATTAGGGACAATGATTTTATGTCTGCTCTAATTAATTCCTCCATAATTCAAACAAACCAGGAGTTCAGAACATACAACGGAGTACAGTATTCACCGGAAAGTGAAACTGCTGGTTCGTGGTTTTGTACCTGGCCTCCAGATCCCAGAAGCAGGGGTCATCACTGGTCCATGGGTTGGATGGTTCTGGTGCCGTCACAAATGGGTCATACTCCATGTACTGCTCAGTGTAGGTTATCAGACTGACACACAAACACATAGGATAGAGGGGGTGAGGACACACAGTAGTACAGTAGCTGGTCAAAGGTTAAAAGACAGGTTAATGCTGATATTTTTGGCCATGTGTTCAAGATCAGCACTTCCTCTGTTTACTCGATGATTACGACTTTCAGTTTTCAAAAAAAATTTGAGTGAATTACAAAAAAGGAAATTATTAAGAAGGAACATCAGTTGTGATCAAAATCACTAGATGTGAATCTTTGATAGTCTGAAATAAACAAGAACTGAGACGCAGCGGAGCAGAAAGTGCATCAACAGCAGCAGAGCTCAAAATGTTTTAATGGTCACAGTTTAAACAATAATACAATGAATTATAAAGTTTTGTGTATTATAAATCTCTTGAGCCCACAGGAGGAAACCATGGCACGATGTGTAAACAAGTAAGACTTCCTTAGCTCAGTGACTCCAAAGCTGAGCTTGGCACAAAACAGTGGCTCATCTTCTCAGTGCCCTCCTTTGACTATACAGTGAGCATCATTTGGCATCATCAGCCTTTTTTTTATTATTTAAAAGACAATAAAAATAAACCGCTTCTCAATTCTTCTTTTATGGCTTTCAGAGTTTTATGGTCCAGACTGTTTAGACAGCTGAGACCAAATGAGGCACTACATAGCCAAGCATCAACAAACCGCTGCACACCCACAGGTAGGAAGTCTTTTTTTTTTTTTTTTTTTAACAGTTAGTCCACATTCTGCGTATTCATGATCTAGTGCATTTTGTTCAGCAGTTGTCAACAGCAGCTCAGTCTTGCTACAACAGTTGGATCTAAGAAAAAAATCCAAACAACAACAGCATTCCAAACTCACTGACCTCTGAAAATGACTACATTTGATAAATAATTCCTAATGTGAAGCAACTAAACAATAAATGTATGATGCTATTTGTTGTGAATGATATCATCCACCATCATTAATGTTGCTTCATGTTGTTTTGGGGTCAATGTCCCAAATTTTCTGCTCTGTGGAGCACCAATTAAACTCTGCTCAGCGCATGAAGTCAGGAGGTTAACGGGTCTTGGACACAGCAGTCAAGTAGCCACCAGTAATCAGTTTCTCTGCTCTGCTGGGAGGTAATGTCGGTCCTGACTGACTGAGCAGAGGAAAGGACAAGCAGGGAGGCAAACACCGAGGTGTGTCAGCTGCTGGTCAGGGACAGGGAGTAGAAACACATATACAGCATCTGTCATGCAGCGGCCCCACAGTAAATCACATCTTTTAAGCTTATAATGTTCCATTTCTGAGAACTAGACAAACCACAAACCCTAAGTTTTTTCACACTCTGAAGCATCTTTTAAACTTGTCCTCTTAACAAATGGTTTGTGCTGAAATGCCTTTGTCCTTAGCCTCTGTTATAAAAATGTTATTATCTGGAAATGAGTCCTCAAGCTTTTAGTTTTAAAATAAGGGGAAACAATCTGCTTATTTATTTCTAAAGCAAATTAACTTATTTGGAGTATTTTCTAATATCATTGCTAAATTTGCTTGGACCTATTGCAACACCATTTGCAGTGTTAGTTTAGGTAGGGCTGCTATCCTTCCACACCTGACATGAATGTTCCAAGGAGAAAAAACAAGCTTGTATTTGAACGTTTCCGAACAATCAGGCTGTGCTCAACAGGAAGCGCAGTGTTTTCAGTGTAACCAAGAAATGAATTTCCTATACTGTACCTTTCAGCAACTTTAGACATCTTCATACAGTGGCGATCCAGCTGTGTGTTCAGGAATAAGATCTGAAAGAGGAGATGAATGGAGTCAGTGTTTGTAAGTGTTTGGTCCTGGCAGAGCAAAAATCATACTACACAGTATAAACATGGAGGTTAACTAGCATGCTGGCACCCACATAATGCATGTTCATAATTTGTAGCAAATGCTTTAATGCGCAACCTTCGGACTTGCCTCTTTCTCAACATCCTCCTTGGTGCCTTTTCGGCAGTGGTGCGAGGGAGTATGTATGGGACTCTGAGACTGTGTTCCCTCCTCCACCAGACCATATACTGACTGGGCCATTTGAACATGGTGACAGACGAGAAGTGGGAGAAGGAAAAGAGACAGAATGTGTACTTATTATGTTCATGCAGTGTAGATAAGGCATGTAAACACCTGCCAAAAAGGTGGTTGTGCATGGTGCAAATCATGTGGATATGATTAAGTTGTTTATGAACTTATGTCTAGTATTTATAAAAAGTTATTTTAAAATGAAAATCAGATTTTTGATGAACAGTATTTGTTGTAAACTACTATAAATCTTTTAAAAAAAGCAAAAAGCAGGTTTTCTTCCATTTTCAAAAACTTGAACAACCCTCATCTTAATGAACTTTCAGAAGATTTGAGGCTTAGCGCCACGCTCCTCCTGCTTTACCTTCTTAACTCTGTGAGGGTTCTTCAGGCGTCTACATTTTCTGATGTCCATCTCTGTGGTGTTGACGCATCCAGGCTGGAGAAATCACAAGGGGGGGGAAGAAGCATTACTGCAAACCACATGCAGAAATTTTAATACCTACATGTTAGAAGTTTACAATAAACCCAAACAGAGGTATGGAAATAGAAAATACAGAGAGCAGGGATGAAGGAAAGGTGGGCGGCACATGCAGAAATGTTAATACCTACATGTTAGAAGTTTACAATAAACCCAAACAGAGGTATGGAAATAGAAAATACAGAGAGCAGGGATGAAGGAAAGGTGGGCGGCTACAATCTCACATGCACAGACGGAGGCTTACCACAGGCCTGTGGACGTCCCAGAAGGCTCTCTCCTGGCTGTCAAGAATCTTCCTCTCAGTTTTATCTTTTTTCCTGTCTATCCTGTGGATTAAATCAGTCAGTGTGAGAGGCCTTGCAGCTTTCCTGACATCACTATTAGATGTAGCAGTTTGAATCCGGAGAGAAAAAAAGACTAGTTGAGGATGTCCATCAGTTTTAATAGTATTGAAGTTCATGTGCTCAAGGATTTGACATGGTCCCTGCACCCATCTGTGCACCATCTCCTCTGGTGGGCACACACAGTGTTCCTACACTGTGGTCTACTCTGTGGACAAATCTCCAGAAAGCACATCCTCCCTTTGTGCAATGCTGATCAACCTGTGCCCACGACAGTGTCTGTATCTGGAGACGTAGGCTGTGTGCGTCTTAAAGGCTTTCCCAGCGATGAAACGACAAATTCTGCTACTGGTATTTACCCAGTACATAGTAATGGAAAGTACATATTCGTACTGGACTTGTGTACATTTTCAAGGTTGCACTTTACTTGAATAGTCCAATCTTTTGCTACCTTACACTTCTCTACATTTTATAGGCCAATAGGATTTATGACATCTGACAGTTAAGCTACTTTTCAGATCATGATTTTACATAAAAAAAACATGAGCTCTTATAAAATATTTGTTATAAACTATGCAATGGTTGTTAAAATGATCAACACAATGACCGAATGCAACAGTATTGTATTTTTTCACATAAGAGGAACAATAAAATAAGTACTGTCCAGTTATTTGGCTCTTACAAGGTCATTTTCTGCACTTCAGTACTTTTAGTTTTCATACTGTTCTTGTTTACTTTACTTCCTGGTGGCTGTGACATCAGTGTGTGAATGTTTGTGTGTGTATGTTTGTGTGTGTGAATAGAAAATAGTGTAAAAGCACTTTGTGTGTGCTCCATTGCATAGAAAAGCGCTTTACAAGTATAAGACCATTTACCATTTACATTTAGTTGCTTCATAAAATATTAAGACCACTTCATGTTTCACACTTTGTGCTGTAGAGTTTTAAACCAATAAAATTACAATTTCTGCCCAAAAATGCACACCCAGTAACCTATAATGACAAAGTTTAAACATATTTTTAGAATGTTTTGCAAATTTAACATGATTAAAACGGAAATGTCTCATTTACAAGAGTATTCAGACTGTTTGCTGTGGTAGATGCATCCTGTTCACTTTATCTTTGAGATGCATTAGAACTGACTGGAGTCAACCTGTGGCATAATGAACTGATTGGACAGAGGTTAATAATCTACGCACCTGTGTATTATTCTACTACAAAACATAATGGGGTCTGAATACTGTCTGGAACCTTTACATTTCAGGAGACCTCCAAACAGTCAGCCACAGCAGCATGCAGACTGTTTCCTAGACAAAAGAATCGTTCTGTTTGACTGCCAGCTGACGAGAGATGTTGGTAACACACCAAGAGCCAGTCATTAGGATGTACCCACTCACAGTGATTAAAAGAAGTCATGCAGGGGTCTGTGTGTTTCCTGTCTGGCTTCTATCATTGTGGGAAATAAGAGTTCTTACTTTATCACGTTATCCTTTGGATGTGATTTATTTTCTTGGATATATAATAAATTTTATAAAAGACAACTTTGCATGAAGATGTGCATATTTGCTTCTCTTGTGTCACTTCTGTCTCCAATTTCCAAATGTTCCAAAACCATACTGTATCACTACTGATTAAAAAATATATATTATACATTCTTCATGTATATTATACATTATATATATACTATACATTGCAGTGCACCGATCACTCTGGGTAGGTATGGTAAAGAAACCTTGGCTCTCATGATATTGGAAGTTGCACATTGACATTATACCTATGGTTTGTCTTTTACTGTACCTCAGGTGTGAATGACATCACTATGTGCATTGTAGTTTTTTTGCGTTGCCGTGGTAACAATGCACACTTACTTAACCTGGGCTTCAGCCTGCATGTAGATAAACTCCCACTTCCTGGCAAAAGCTCTCTGCAGCCTGGCTAGGTTCTCCTGTTAGACAGAAGAAACACTGAAACATTTTATAATAAAAAACATTTACAGGAAAAAAGGTATACTGAGATACAATTTAGATCTTATATCACCACACACACAAGTCTGGCCTCTGCCCCAAGCTGGACATACAGATCAATACTAAGCAGTTATAGCTGGGGGGGTCATTCTAGCACTCACCGCCTCATAATCTGCCAGCTCCAGCCTGGTCTTATTCTGCATGGTCCGCTTGCACAGGTAGATAGCTAAAAGGCAGAAAAAGACAGGACTGAAGACGGGTTTGTCCGTGTGCACTCCCCAACTCCATTCATCCATGTATATCCATATAACTGCTTCACCTCTCCTCACATGAAGATTGCAGGTTTCCTCTCTCTCGCTTTAGGATTATAAGGGGAGTGTGGAGAGGTACCCACCATGTTTGATATAACTCATGGTTTGCAATAGCCATGCAATGCCTTTAACATTCTGTAATTATTTCTCTATATGTTGTAGTAGTAGCCACTGTTAGTAGCAGAGTCTGCCATTCCTGTCAAGGATTAAAACTACCCACACATTTATATTTGCCAGTGCACTAGCTGGGACCTGCCCTCACTGAATAACAAGGAGATGAAATGAGGGTGAACTGGCAGACCTCCAGCAGAGACAGTAGGGGGGATGTGTGGGTAACAAAAAGCGGAAGTAAGAAGAGGATGTATGGATATATGGTGGCTCTGGTAGGCTTAAATAGCATGGGAACTTTCATTTAATTACATTATCTCCATTTAATGTCAAAACTAAATCTGTAAAATATAACTGAGGACAGGATGCTCCACACTGAAAACCACAATAATGAAATAACTTTATGGCTAGCAGCGGTTTAACAGGACAAACCATTACATTTTATTAAAAGAAACTCTGATAAATATTCAATCTTTGAAAAGTTGCATGTTTAACACATTTCTATGGAGTGATTCAGTATAAATGTGCTGTCATGTCAGACTGTCCACTAAATGAACTTTACAGATGCAATCCAACATAATCCTACGGCAAAGTCCAATTTAGTTGTCAAGTTTCCCGACTTCACCTACAGTCACTATTAAACGTGTGCATGTACAATTGAAATAAATTCCCACTTAGTTATTGATTCCTATTTAAAAGATGAACACTGTGGGAGTGCTACTGCCGCACTATAAATATTCACTTGCAGCTACACAAGCATATGCAATTAGATGTTACCCAGTGAAGATAATACAGGACCTGGAAAAAACACTTTATAAAGTGCTGTTTTGAAATTAATATAATCGAAACAGAGATGAGTAAATCCATCAGTAGTTGTTGGTTTGTTGCACCGTGCGCTTTATTTAATGTCTCAAAAAGATTTCTTCTTTAGACTTCACCAAAACATTTAATACAAGTAGTGTATATACAGTATAGCACTTTAGTTTGTTTGTTTACTAGTGGCACTATATTACTATTTAAAACTTATTTTATGACCAAGCGCTGATTTTTAAAACACAGGACATATTGTTTACTGACAGCTAAAGCACAAATAAATTCAATGCTTAAAAAAAACAAACTACAAGCTGTCAAAGTATCCCTCTAAGTATCTCACCATAGTCTGTGTTTTCAGGCTCCCAACAGTTGGAGGCCCAGAAATATGGTGCCTGCGGGGGGAGAAAGTGAAAAGGTGAGTGCACTGCTGCATATTATCTGCTGAAGTTTAATGAGTGAAATCTGTAATCAAAAATCTGGAAAGTCATAGCTATGCAGGTAAATATGTACTTTCTGAACTTTCTGGTAAAACCGGAGTGATGATAATGACCTTTGGGAGACAGCTGCTTTGCCTCTGAGACGCAGCAGTGCACATGATTGCAGCGCTATGTGAGCAATCAAAATATTTTTATTATCAAAACTGTACGCATTCAGAACAGCTGACTCCTAAAACCTTTCTGCCTGTAAGAGGCATCCTGGGTTGTTGCAGAGCTGTGGGAGTGCTGCAGTGTCACAATAAAATGAGAAGCGATGAAAGCTGCAAAACAAACAACGGGAAATCTAAACCATACAGCCAGCGGGCAAAGTACAGACGCTGACAGGACTGTCACTTGACAGGGCTCCACTTTTAAAACTGCCATTGTCGTGAAGAGAGTTATTACATGATGTTAATTGTTTTTGATTTTCCTTCGCTGTATTTCTTATCATCTTGTATTTGATTTGCCTTGAAAATGAAATGCTAGTGAACGGTGTTGATGAAGCTTTTCAGCCCTCCTCCTTCCCTTGCCTGCTCTTCTACTTCATTTTAAAGGAGGAGAACCAAGGTCAAAGCAAGGCAATGTGCAATGCTGTCCGGGTTAATTAAAATGCTCTTCCAGCTCTGGTGAAGACTCAGCCCTCCACCAAGACTAGGTGAAAAGGACAGAAGAAGATGCTGCACAGAGATCATTCTAATCTCACCACACGCCGCCCTACTGTTCCTCACTGAACAATTTAAAAACATTGCTGCCTCTTTTAAATTAGGAATTTCAGGATAAAACAGTCTGGCATAATTAATCTGACTATAATGCCACTGTGTTATCTGTGCAGGAGTAAAAAGTCTGCACACGTTGCTTTCTTTTTGTCCCTTGATGAGACCCGAACTCTAATTTACTATTTCACTACACCATAGCCACTCAGCCCAAACACAGACCTGCTTCCCTTGCTCGCTTGATGAATATTTTAACAGATCGCCATTCATTTTTAATAGGGTCACAGGATCCCAACACAGTACTGAAGAAGCTGTCGACAGCAGACAGGGCCTGTCATCGAGATCAAGATCGGTATGTTGTAATTCCATAACAGAACAAGTCATCTTCATGGGCCCTATGGGGACTTCATAAAAGCAAGCACCCACACAATCACATTAATATCACTGAGCTTTTGATTATCTCCCACATAAAGTAGGATGAAGAAGGGATTAGGTCTGTTATGAAAGGCAAAGGGTGATTTGCATTTATTGGAAAAGAATCCCATTATAACATAGAGCCATTATTAGAAAAGCTAGCTTTTTTTTATGCTACAATGTGCACGCAGAAACATCAATTCAACACTGGAAAAGTGATATAGCTATATATCAAGCTGTTTTAACTGGTTTAGATGTTTTTGGAGCAACAGTCTACAGTCATGGTAGTGTCTCTGTGCAGCTTAACATCATTGTACAAGTTGTCTTGTATATTTAATTTGTTCTTTTTTACAGTGATGTGTTTGACATGTACACAGTACTATGCATTGTCTTCTTGTCACTACCCATGCCACCAAACTTTAAGATTAACCCCAGACACTGAGTAGCTAAAAGCCCTTTTTCTCAGAAAACCACACACAGATCTAACTATAAAGATGATTTATTGACTAACTGCAGCCACTTTCACCACGTTTGTGTTTCACTTGACGCTCCGACTCACCTGAAAGCGGTAGAAAGTGCCGTCATCTTTGAGGGAGAGAACGTGGTCTGAAATAGGAAAGAAGTACCCCTGAGCTGCAATGAGACTCCCGATATGCATGGCCTCAGCTGTGAAAGGAACAGAACAAGGAGTACAGATCACAGCCGGTTCCCTCAGCCCTCACTATTATACAGTGTAGTGCAATATCTTTATGGATGAAATTACCTCAGTAGTAATAACATCAGGAGAATAAAGTCAAACTACACACTCATAACAGTGAGCAAGGCATGAATATAATACAATGCATCAGCTGCCAAAGAGAAGAATCTTCAGAACCCAGTATGATGATTTTTATTATGTTGAAGATTTAAAATGATGCCTGTTGCATCATTTTAAATCCACAGTGGCATTTCAGCTATAGGATTCAGCCTTGAAGTAGCTGCCATGTACGTGGATGACTCAGTGGCTGACTCAGTGTCACGGCCGTGGGCTATTATACCAACAATAAACTGCTCTCCCACCAGCACCACGCCTCAGGTCAGGCCAAGTAAACAATGAAAACACTGCAAAAACCAGACACTTTTTGGTTTTTGTTCAAACCCTTTCTGTTGCTTTTACACTCACATCCCAGTATCAACTTATAACAACATAACTGTTAACTTGTTTTTGTTAGAATCTAAACTGGAGAATGCTGCACCCAGAAAATGTTTATGTAATAACAGTTTTTATTTGCAAATACTAAACACTGGTGGAAACTAAGCACATTTACTGTACATAAGTGCAATTTTGATATATTTGTACTTTACTTGAGTACAATTTCACTACATTTTAGAGGCAAATATTGTACATTTTACTCCACCGCATTTATCTTATGACTTCCTGTAAGTTACTAGTTACAGAATACAACAGAAAACACAGTATGAGATAGACAGATATACGTAGAGAGTAGATAGAGAGTATAAGACTATTGATCCCTGGTGGAAAATTCACAAGCCAACCAGCAGTACTTCAAATTAAAAGCATCTAAGGTAGTTAAAATGAGCTCCCCCTTCACCAGCTGCAACCTTAAATGTGAAGTACACAATAATGCATCAGTACAGTAATTATAATCCAATAATATGGTAAACATTAATGTTAAATGTACCATTCTGCATAATGAGTACTTTATGCTTTCATGCTAATGCTTTTGTATTTTTACTTAATGTTTTGAATGCAGGACTTTTACTTGTAACCGTGTCATATTGCTACTTTTACTTCAGGGGTGAGCACTTCTTCCAACCCTGATAAATGTTTGCAGGTGCCGTGTATTTGCACATCTTTTAGTACGCAGTACAAGACTTGTAGCTGTACATGGGAAGCAGCAGTATCTGATATCATTTTTCAAAACGTACCTGGATCCTCAATGGACAGGTTCTTCATCAGCCACTGTACAATATCTGCACCTAAATCAGATCAGACAGAGAAAGACAAATGAGCAGGTGGGAGAGCTGCTATGATACACAGAAGATGGGAAAAAGTGAGAAAGGCAGTAGAAGAAAAGTTTTTCTTTGAGTCGCACTTTGTGGCTAAACGTAGATATGTTTTTTTCCATTACTCTTCCATTATGTCCCCCCCTTCAAATTAAAACAAAAAATAACAAAAGGAGGATAAAATAAATAGCAAGAAAACTAGATGACAAACCTAAACACTACCCTCAAAATTAGGTGCCACAGAAGGCAGGGGCACTGGCATTAATCTAAAGCAGCTTGCTGACATGTTTTTTAAAATATAATTGCAAAACAAGAAATTTCATGAGGAAATAAAATGATCTCATGCTACTCGTACTCAGGAGACTCATATTTAGAGACGTTTTTTTATGTGATGAGTACGGTAGGTAAACCTCCTGAAAAAGCATTTTAGTTTTTGCAGTGGAGATAGTTTCATCTCATCTGTGCTTCCTCCCTGCTTTCTCTCAGTTAAGTGAGGAGGTGTTTCACTCTATCATTCATTAGCTTCCAGGCCCTCGGCTCTCAGCTGCAAACATTCGAGCCGCTGCTTCGCACATCCATCCGCTGCCGTAGTAATTGAGTTTATTGATATGCTCTGCTTATGGCATATTGGGGTAATGTGCTTTCCATAAGTGCAACGACTGAAAACAAAAGAAGAATGTTAATAGCTGTTTTTTGTTTCCCTCATTCGTTTGGGGTGTGACAGAGCCTCCCACTGTGGCTGCAGCCTGTTCTAGTGATTTACAGTAGGTCATCAATCGAAGTGACTGCAAACCGGCAGCGGGGCGGCTAACATCCATCCCTACTTGTCAGATTAAACTGGCTACTAATATTTAAATTGTTCGGTTTTAAATGTTTATTTGTTTACAGAGTTTGACTAAGGATGCCTGTCCAGTGATTCACATGAACACAGTCCCGGCTCTACTGAAGCAATCGGGTTGATCTCCTTACTTAAAGGCACCTTGGCAGTAGGAGGCCAGCGATACTTATTGTGTTTCCACACACACATACACTGCACTTGCACTTCTATCTTTGCAAGGACACGCATTGACATAATCCATTCCCTAGCCTGTTACCCTAACCTAACCATCATAACTAAATGCCTAGTTCTAACCTAAACCTTATCATAACCTGGAACCTAAAAGCCAAGTCTTAACCCTCAAAAGGCCGTTTCAGAAAGTGAGGACCAGCCAAAATGTCCTCACTTTCCAAAAAGAAAAAACGCACTATATAGCAATTACAAGAACACACACACTTTTTCAAACATTTAATCATGTGCTGTCCTACCACTTTCCCTCCAGTTATTCTCCAGTGAAACACTGCAGCAGCCCCAGTACAACCATCGAACGCTTGAGATCTAGACTGTATAACATCATAACTGTGATCACAATATCCAATTTCTATGGGGCTTACCCGTACAATGCAGTAAGATGGTTGCTGAATAATACATTACATTTACAGTTAATGTTTAAACACTGCAGGATCTGTCACTGTCGGTTTTTGACATTTCTTTTATTTACCAACCTGTGACAACACTGGGTATTTTGGTCATGAAACTTTTGACAGTTCTGATGGGCACACCCTCCGTCTCATCCTGGATGCGAGTGACAATATCTTCAATCTGCAAAGGAAGGTGAACGGGCAAAGGGGAAAGAAAGGAGGACAGAGAGAAACAAAAGAAGAGAGTTTAAAAGTTTCATCAGACTGAAAGTTGAACACTATTCATGTTAGGTGAGAATCATTATAGTTGCTGTTACAGTGCAAAGTCAGCATTTAAAGAAACATTTAGCTTCAACCCTTGTAGTGTTCATTATTCCAGACCCCTAAGACTCTTGTGATAATGCTGAGGTGAATCACTTTTAGTCCATCATTTGGAGAAGAGGCACGCCTTGTTCACTTTAGCTTATGACAAACACATCACATTGTTACTGTACATGGTCATGATAGCAACAAAAGTCACTACCATAGTATAAAGTGGGAGGAAATGTGATATGAGCAGACCAGGAGCTTCACCAGAACAGCACGTGCCTTTCGTCTATTATCACAACTGTGCACAGATGCTTTTTTTTTGTTTGCATCAGAGAGTGGGAAGTGAGAAGCTGGTCGCTTTGGAGACAGCTACCACACAACTCAGACGCTATATATAAAACTGAATAAAATCCCAAAGAGAGAGAGAGAAAAGGAGTGAGAGGTGGTTACATATGTCTTTTAATACCTGGATCATTAACACAATCACATTAAAGAGGTGCTAAAAACAACATGTGCACACTCAGGCAATGCATGCACAGTTCTTTGGATTTGAGTAAAACACCAACCAACTGCCTGTGTTTCTCCTTTAGTACCCACTGTACTGTGTATTATACTCCAAATACATACACATGCTCTGTACAGCTTTCCTTCCCTTTATCTTTATGAGTATATTTATAGTGTATACAGGCACCCACCCACGCACACGACTACTCCTACATCAGACTCACACAGAGTCTCAGGAGTGGAAAGTAACTAAGTACATTTAGCCAAGTACAGGTTTGAGGTATCTGTACTTGGAGTATCTTTGTACTGTAGTTTGTACTCACTGCATTTATTTGATAATTTTAGTTACTAGTTACTTTTCAGAATCAGATGAATAAAACAAAACAGTTATAAGACTATACTGATCCCCAGTAGGAAACTCACAAGCTACCCAGCAGTATGTAAAGTACTTCAAAGTACATAAGGTAGTTAACATCAGCTCCACCTTTACCAGCTGCAACATTCAATGTGATCTACACTATAATACATCAACAATTATATTCCAATAATATGATATACATTCATGTAACTGTGCCACTATACTGTATATCCTGTACAAATCTTCAATTGTACGAGAAGCCCATTCATAATTATATCTGCAATATTACTGTATCATATTGTATGCCCTAGAATATACTAAAGTATTTTGGTCTGGATAATTTCAGTTAATTTCCAGCATAGAAGCCTTGTGATAAAGCTCAAGGTGAGGGAGGTAAATCTGGCAGTAAGTCCGCTATAGATGAGGCAGTCAGTTGCTTTACTTTATGCTAAAGTACCCTAACTGCAACTAGCTTCAAATTTAACAGCTAAGTATGAGAGTAGTATTGGTCTTATCAAATTGCCCACTCCTTTCAAGGTGCTAGATGACTGAACACTTTATCAGAGGGCTGCTTATTGCCAGCTACTGTAGTAACAGCATATCTATGGTACATTACTCCACCAAATATTAAAGAAAACAAAGCACACACACCACGTCTCATTCACTTCCAGCACAGATAAGACCAACCAGTCTGGAGACTCAAACTGGCAAGTCGTCTACTTTTACCTTTCTGCCCATCAGACTGCTGTCACCCTCTTCCTTATTCTTGCTGAAAGAAACAGATCTCAGCTGTCTGCCATATGCAAGGGCACAGGCAGCTTCAGGCTGCACATCAGAATCAATATAATAATGTGGCTCTAACAAGACCTTGATGGTGTGTGGAGACTGCTGCTCAAATGACTTTAATGGCTTCCACTGTCATGAACAATCTATTTCTGCCCTCCAATCAAAACGGCTTTTCACAACAGTTTTACTCCAAATTAAAACAACTGTCAACCCCAAACTCTTGGGAAAAAAATGCCAAAATTGCCAATATGACAAAACAAAATGCTACTAAAAATTAAAACACTTAATGTGCATCAGAGAAATGCTTCCCTTTACAACACATGGACTAACAGTTACATTGGATTAGTCATTAGCGTGAAATAAGGTATTGAACATGCTAGCATGAGGAATATTAGTCATACCAGTCAGCTTGAGCAGCAATAGCCACTAAAGTTCACCAAAGTGAAGAAACAAACTCCACTGCCCTCTCTGCAGAGCATTTACCACCCCCAGCACGGACTGTTCATACCCCTACCCTCCGGTCTGAGGCTCAGAAGTGTGAAATGCAGGACCTCTAGACTGAAAAACTCTTTCTGACTGCCATCAAACTCAAACAGCTGACTCAGGATCTACCTCATGTAATTCCATCTGTACCGTTTACATACTCATTTTGCACATGCACAATTGCATTTGTAACCCACCTTATAAAAGGGTACAATGTGCGTTATAATTCTGTTTAATGGTTTCACGTATCAAACGCTTTATTTTGAAAACCGGACGTTTTATTTTGGCAATTACAGGTGAAGAAGTCTTGCCATCGTGTGAAAAACGTAATGTGAAAAACGTAGTGTACAGTTAAACTCCTGCTAAACAAAGAGGAAAAAAAGTCCATAAGAACTTCTTAAAACAGAAAAAAAAAATTGTGAAACTCATCTTAAGTTCGAGGGAGCTCGTGCTTAACGTCAGACAACCTGAAGGAGCAAAACTTTAGTTTTGTTTTTTGAAAAACAGAACCCTTGGTAAGCTATTTCATAGTGTCAATGAATGTTAGCATGCTACATAGTGGTGGGCAAGTGAAGCCTCATGAAGCACTGAGGCTTTCCTAACAATTGTGCCGAAAACGAGTCAAAGCTTCAAGACTTCAGTGACGGTGACATCTGGTGGACAACTGAAGCCATAGCAGCCTCTAAAGAGCACGACTGAAGCACTGGCACTGTTTCAATCCCATGACAGCAATAAAAGTTCAGAAAAGTCTGTGTGGTCATTCAAGTGTTTTGTTCATTCATACCAAATAATGATTATATCGTCATTACAATAAAATATGCAGATGCTCTCCCCCATACTGTAAAACACATTCCAGATTAACCCAAACAATCAATGCAAATTATATTAAGGGTTAAATGTTGGTTAAGGGTTAATTTCAAGCTTTGAGCTTTATTTAAATACTGTACTAAAAGCCCCTAACAGGATTAGAGATCCTTCCTACTTTGCAAATGATCATGGTGTTTGAATTCAGAAACATTGTATCTTTTTTGTGTGAAGTGTTTAAGGAAAACCTTTAAAGATAATGGTTTGTCATTTGGGGACTTGTATGGTTGATTTGGAATGATTATTCACAGAAGCAGACATACATAAAATGTATGCCTTTCCTGAGAAAGCTCAAGAGTTGCCTGATAGAATGGCCTTAAAACTGTCAGGCACTGGTTGATTGCTGCATAGTCATCAGCAATGAAAGGCACAATGTCAGTACTAAGTGATGCCAGGGCTGCCCCTAAAGGTTCTCTCTGCTCATAAAGCCTATGGAGCATGGCATAGGTGCTGTGCCATCTGGTTGCGACCTCTTGAACAAGCTTTTTTGGGGGCATACCCATATTAGCTTGAATAAAGCACAACTTTTCCTTTGCTTTTGAACTGGACTTGAAGTGTGCCACTATTTTGCGGGCCCTAATGCGCATGTTTTCCAGCTCAGAAGTCTGACAGAGTGATTTTTTGACAATGAGATTCAGCATGTGGGCGAAGCAATAAATATGTCTAACATTTAACTGAGTAACACTTGCCACAATATTGTGAGCTCCATCAGTAACCATCCCACAGACCTTTTCAGTGATTCCCCACTCTGTCATCAAATTTGCAATTGCATCTGAAATATTAGCTGCTGTGTGGGTCAAAGGAAAATACTGCACACCTAAAAGCACAGTAGCCAGATCTAGGCTGTCTGACACATAATGGCAAGTGACACCAAGGTACGCATCCATGTTGACTGATGTCCACATGTCAGCAGTCAAACTAACAGCTGAAGTCTGCTTAATTTCTGCCAAGGCCTTCTCTTTGGTTACAGTGTACCTTGCTGCCACCATTGCCTTTACAGTTTTGCAGCTTGGAATGGAGTATGATGGGTCCAGGATTTTGATGAAATTTTGGAACCCTTCATCCTCAACGATAGAAAAAGGCTGACCATCTTTAACTATCATGTCCACCAAGGCCTCATCCAGCTTCTGTTTTCTGGACACTGTGTGGAAGACAGGTTGCTATATGAATATGATACACAACATCTACAATAAATAGACACACACATACATATATACAGTATATATACGTTTATATTTAGCTTACTGTCAGGATTTCCAGTGTTGACAGGGTCACTGGTTTGCTGGGTATGACTGTCATCATGCCTGGCACACAAGTGTCGCAGCATAAGACAACTCCTGTGTGCATAGCAAACACCGCAACTACAAGCAATTGTAATTTCGAGACCCATTTAAAAATTAACAATACAATTCAATTATGGAAACATAAACTGTATGCCATAAACTGCATTATACCTTATTGGGTGGTATGAGATCAAAATGATCCCAAACTTTAGAACGTCGCTTATTGGTGGTACTCGCCATGAACCTTGCCAAAATACTCTCACTCTCACTCTCCAAATCTCTATCTCCTCACAACCCCATTTTGAAGCATAATGATGCATCTTATATAGCTGGTATGGCACCAAACCACACAAATCTGTAAAACTCGTCAAGCTGTCATTGGCTCACAAAGCACTGAAACGCCATGAGCGTTGACACGCACTGAAAGACTATGAGCCAATGAAAAGCTTCGAAACATTTTGAAGGAATGAAGCGCTAAGCGAAACAGCGATGACGTTCGACATCGGTCACGTGACACTGGTGTTTTGATACAAGCTCCGACACAGCGTTTCGAATCACTCCGCTTCAGGACGAAAAGCCTCGGTATCATTTGCC